ACAAAACAGCGTGTGATTGTCCTAATCCTTAGTTGAACAAATAGATGTAAAAGATGTACACTACCCTCTGGATTAACCTTCTGGGAGGGTTTGTTACTATTTACAGTTATAGAAACAAGCTAAAAAGAGTCGGAAACCAAATATTCTTAATTCGTAATTTATTTACAATGAGAATATCTTACACCATCTCCATTTCATCCCAAGTCATGCTATCCAAGTCCAGAATGTGCAGGTCATTTAAAAGAGATCTCTTTGCATCCTGTCCACCAAATATGACCAGTGTCATTCCCACAAGGGTCACTGACTGCCCTCCACGAGAGACCTACAAATAACAGACAAGCATTAGAACATTTCTTAAAATAAGTACCATGGACTCGATTCCGTACATGTACAGAACATATATTCTTGAAGTTTCTGAGCATCAAGACTTTGACAACCCATTGAAGTAAAGCTAATTTGAACACTTGGATAAATTGTAAATACTTTAATCGAGAAGAAAGTCTTCGAATTAAAATAATGCAGGAAATGGAAAGTGGAAATTGTCTGATTCATTATTTAAAGCAGGAAAAATAATCTTGGGAAAAATAAAGATATACCGGAGGCTTTCCATAAGTCTTCAACTTGGACCAAGTACAAGTTTGCGGATCAAACACCTTCACTGGCATTCACAAGATATTAATGAGATGTTTCAGAGGAGACACACAAGTCAGGAAATCACTTTAGCATATTATAACAAATGATCCAATGCAGTAGTAATTAATGTTTTAAGAGATTTTACAATTTGGTCTCCCTCCCTAGTCCCTACTCATTAAAGTAAAGCAATAACAGAAGCACTAGAATTGACATGGATACCTTGCAAAGTTTCAGAAGGATCCTTTGTATGTCCAGCAACTGAAAGAAGCTTCCCATCCCACGGTATCTACAACGATGAAAACATGTGCATGTCATACAAAAAATAAAATAATAGTTCCCATTTTCAAGTTCCTTTAGCTGAATTATATGATCGAAGTGGCCAATGCCATCACTGTCAAAGAGCTTCATCTCAAAGGTAGACCATTACTCTAAAATACTAACCAATGAATGGCCGGCACAAGGCGTTGTCCCTGCCTGAATTTCAACTTTGGACCAAGTCCAACTTCTCATATTCAGAACCTAATTGCATGATACAGAAAAAATAAGAAAGTTGTACCTTCACCAAACCTCAGAGAAGAAAACCAAAAATATATAAAGCAAACTCAATCCACGGTAACGGGGTACAGACAATAACGCACAGACCCTGAGACTGCTAAAAAGGAAAAATATAAAATCTACAATATAACTTCTAAAGTAACTTTCAGATTTGATGTGAACACTCAAAATTTTCCTGTTTTTGCATGGGTTGTATTTAGGAATCAAAATATAAGATTCTAACTTTTTGTGAGGATCTTATTTTGCAGCCATAATGTTAATAATATGCACTTGCAACATACACATGCAAAAAGATTTAGTTCAGTACCTGGAGATCACTTAGGTAACGACCGTTGTGGTTTCCACCAAATATGTACATCTTATCATCAATAACTGCTGCTCCATGCTGTAGTTGCACTTAAAATTTATAACTTCTACGAGATATCATGTTTTAAATTTGTAAAAAGAAATATAAATGCTGCCTTAAAAAACAAGAGTACCTCGTATCTGGCTTTTGGACATGGGCCAGATATTGGAGGTCCAACCCACTGGTCATATACACCAACTACTCCAAGGCCCTCCAATACAACATCTTTATCCTGTGTTTCAGAAGGGTTGCCATTTTGAGTTGGAAGAGTTTTCACCTCTAGGATATTGTTTCCATTCTCAGAGGCTGCCACTATTTTAGGGCTATGCTGAGCCAGAAGAAAGAATTTGAAAATTCCAGGTCAGAAATTATACATTAGCACCTATGGAAGGAAACCAAGATGTAAATTCTTCATGGTTTTATATAATAAGCATTTTCTGTTCATAATGGTTAAAAAGTTCTTCAAATGACTTGGTAATGTCTGTTTGATACAACCTGAATTTTAGGTGTAATATTCCAAATGGTGGGTTTTCGGTCATTAGACTATCCAAGGAAGGCTGTGAGATCCGAAAGCGTATAACGTTCTACTTCCCTTAGAGCTAAACTTTTAAACTGAACATTAAACAGGTTCACCAAAACTTTTACGAGTAAAACACACACAAGCATACATGTCATACATTAACAGAATATCTGCTAAGAAAGAAAGAGAACAAAGATATGCTTATGAAGTTATGGTCCCAGTTTTTATTCATGCTGAAAGTGATGAATTTCAAGTGGATGCTGAAGATATGTATATTCATATTATCTGAATCCGACTAGTCATCCTAGCAATCACTTGAGCAACTACTATAAATTATTATACATCGACAGCCCTCTTCTCAATGCATAGCTCCAAAACTCTTCCATGCAGCCCCAATGACTCTTTTGATGAGGAATAATCTTGACTTTCTAATTCCTATGCTGTGTCAGATCACATGAACTAAAAGAATCCACAAACGTAAAAACCATAAATTCATTGCTGAAAGAGAAATATGCAAAGCCAGAGACTGAAGGCAGTATGTATACATTTAGATTGTTATTGCATTAAAAAAATCCAGTATACATGCCTCGAATATTTTATGAAACCAACACAACCAGGTAACATCAGTTTTCATGGGAAAAAGGGGTGAAGGGGGGTGGGGAGCCAGGATTAAGGTGCAAAAGATTCACAATTTAACAAACTCACATTCATTTCTACATCGCGGACAGGCTCAGGAACAAAGTTTGATACTCTTGAATACCATCCTGGATCTTCCTCCTGTACAAAAGAGTATAAATTATAATACTCTAATAAGTTGCTGTATGGGATTTATCAAAAACAAGTT